CTTCCAAATCGAAATTCAAAAGAATTTGTCCAGGAAAAAATTAGGAAAAGCAAGAAGGAAATTGAAAAGCCTAAAAGGCGAGAAAAGGATTACCAATGAAAATACTCATCAAAGAACAAAATCGTGTGATCAGACACCAAAATCAGAAGTTAGTGACTGTCGTATCCAAGAGGCCTCAGTGGTTTCTCAATCATCTCAAACTCTTCTCGAGAGGTGGATGCTTGTATTGGGTCAACTGGGCGTAGGAATAGAGAACATCATGGAGAATGGGTGGGCACCAAATAATTTTGAGCCTTAAATCCTTTTTTCTAAAACCGTGAACCAGGCCACATTACAACCCATAAAAGTCCTAATTGAAGCATGGGTCAATTCGAAAGTGTGCTACAATGAGATAGCGTTTAACTGACTCCTAAGAGGTACGTTTGAATATATGTGTTGGCATCATATGCTTGCATTATCTTTCATAAAAAAATAATTTGCAAATGTTTCTCTCTAGATAGTGACTCGTTCACAACAGAGTTGTGATGTCATTTCATTCAAAGTTTTTCAAACTTCAAGATTTACATATGTGTTGCATTAGAATTATCATTCTCGTAATAAACATTCTTCTGCATACAAAACAACTGATTGACATCAAGTACGTTTACACAATGAACAATCGATAAAGAGATCAATCTTGTCAGAGAAGAGAGGCTTGCATACCCTGTTAAAGCAAGAGTCAATTGTCACAAGAGAAATGACTTATCCAGGGGCATGTTAACCAGTGATTATGTCCAGAGAAAACTTCTTGGTGCTTCACAGTCTGAGTACCATTTAGGGATGAAGTTAGCAGATTCTGCCAATCTGGGGAAATCAAGTCGAGAGTCTATCCCTCCACTCTCAGCCAAATATGGGGCATCTCTTCAATCTAATATCAATCAGAAGCTATCACGTTGATAAATCTCTTCAAGCTAATATCAATCAGAGGCTATCACGTCAATTAATCTCTTCAAGCTCGACCAATCAGAAGCTATCACGCTGATAAATCTCTTCAAGTTATCGTCGATCAGGGGTTCTCACATTGATAAATTTATTCAGAATTCATTCAACCTAGGGAAGTTACGTTGAGATTCGACAAATCTCTCCAAGAAAGCCGTAATCAAGAGCAGTTTATTTCGTGACTCAAGACATTGGGGCAGGACACTTCATATCATATTGTGGCACGAATATTCCGGTCTTCTATTCAACATATAGCTTCTCAGAGATCCTCCAGACAGGGGAATTCCTCATCCGTACTTGCAAAGTTTCTCAAGCTAATTATGTTGTACGAGACGAATCAAGCTAAAAGCATCATAACAGTTGCCCTGACCTAGCCAGCACACGAAGCTGCCTTCATCTGCTACAAACAATTTTGAACCTAATTCCCCAAGTGAATTCAGAAAATTCAGAGTCATCATTTGACTCGGCACCTGCAAGTGCATCCCCAATGGAGTTAATCAAGAACATCCCCAGTGGAGCTAAACCGGGGAATTCACAGAGCTAAACTGGAGCATTCGTGGAGTTAGACCGGGGTATTCGTAGAGCTAAACAGTGGAATCCTCAGAGTTAAACTGAGGCATTCGCAGAGCTAAACCGGGGCATCCACAGAGCTAAATTGGGGCATTTGCAGGTGTCCATGCCCAATGTTTATCCCCAAATGATTCAAGAGATAATTCCCCAGTGTGCGTAAACTCGGGGCATGTATTCGGAGAGATTCACATGGTGTTCAATATCCATTCTTTGGCATTTTCAGTTCTATCACCCTCTCGATGGTTCAGGATGTATGGAAGTCTATCCAGATTATCTCTTCCCCAACGATATGATTCAGAATCCGGCAGTGTATCCGAAGACTCGTTTCATCAACAATTCAATCTCCAGCAAAGTCATCAACAATCTTCGGTATCACGGGCTCCCCAATGCAAATTCTTGTCAGTATCCCCAACGATCTTTGGTACTGCAGACTTCCAGCGCCGATATGTATTGACATCCCCAGTAATGAGTAATATTTCCCAGTAAGATTTCGCTTATCCCCATGAAGTCTATTTCTTTGCATTGCATATAGTTATCACTGCATCACATTGCATCCTCAGAAGCGCGTAGCCGATCTATCATAGCGGATCTTTGCGGCAAAAGAAATTCAAACATGCATACGAAGCATAAGCCAGACCAGGTACCTTACACGAAAGACCTGAATCATTAAAGGACAACAACACATCCCCATAGGAGGGTATCATTTCCAAAATCCCCAGTCAATGACCTTCACCTTTTCAATGCCAAACTAAATCAATACGCTTTGTCATTCTAAACCCAGTTTTCGTCTGGTGGCCAGTCCCCGTCTGACAAATAATCCAGTCTTCCAACACTCGTATGTGTCAATTCCTAAACACTCATATGTGTCAGTTTCCTAAACGCCCGTATGTGTTAGTTTCCTAAACACTTATTCGTGTCCGTTCTTCAAAAACTCGTATGTGTTAAATATTTTGATACTCGTCCGTATCTTCCTTTAGTACTCATTCGTATTGATTCTAACACTCATCCGTATTGATTCAAACACTCGTCCGTGTTTAACCTTTTGATACTCGTCCGTATCTTCTTTCAATACTCGTCTGTATTGATTCACACACTCGTCAGTGTTGAACCTTTTGATACTCATCCGTATCTTCTTTCAATACTCGTCTGTATTGATTCAAACATTCACCTGTGTTTAACCTTTTGATACTCGTCCATATCTTCTTTCAATACTCATCCGTATTGATTCAAACACTCGTCCGTGTTTAACCTTTTGATACTCGTCCGTATCTTCTTTCAATACTCGTCCGTATTGATTCAAACACTTGTCCGTGTTTAACCTTTTGATACTAGTCCGTATCTTCTTTCAATACTCGTCTGTATTGATTCAAACACTCGTCCGTGTTTAACCTTTTGATACTCGTCGGTATCTTCTTTCAATACTCGTCCGTATTGATTCAAACACTCGTCCGTGTTTAACCTTTTGATACTCGTCCGTATCTTCTTTCAATACTCGTTTGTATTGATTCAAACACTCGCCCGTCTTTAACCTTTTGATACTCGTCGGTATCTTTTTTCAATACTAGTCCGTATTGATTCAAACACTCGTCCATGTTTAACCTTTTGATACTCGTCCGTGTCTTCTTTCAATACTCGTCTGTATTGATTCAAACACTCATCCATGTTTAACCTTTTGATACTCGTCCGTATCTTCTTTTAATACTCGTCTGTATTGATTCAAACACTCGTCTGTGTTTAACCTTTTGATACTCGTCCGTATCTTCTTTCAATACTCATCCGTATTGATTCAAACACTCGTCCGTGTTTAACCTTTTGATACTCGTCCGTATGTTATTTCAATACTCGTCTATATTGATTCAAACACTCGTCCGTGTTTAAACATTTGATTCTTGTCCGTATCTTCTTTCAATACTCATCCATATTGATTCAAACACTCGTCCGTGTTTAACCTTTTGATACTCGTCCGTATCTTTTCTCAATACACGTCCGTATTGATCCAAACACTCATCTGTGTCACTTATCTAAACAACCGTCATGACGTAACCCATGTTTTCATCATAAAACCTGAGATCGCCCGTAGGCTAGGTTCTTCCTTAGATCATCATCGAACCTGAGATCGCCCTTAGGCTAGGTTCTCTGTCAAATCACTCTCATGTTTTGCCTTAGGATCGTAGGTCGCCCGTAGACCTTGTACGCTGTCTTTTTGTACCAACCTTTGTCTTGTATTGGCATCACGCCACATTACAAGTCCAATCTCCGTCTTTTCACTAAAAAAACAAAAATTCTTTCCCCAACAGATATCACAAAAATAAATAAACACTCACGCTTTCTCCCAGAACAAATTTTTGGCATTGATATTTAATTATCTTTTACCTTGAACTCTCGAAAGGCACGTGTCAATCGTACTTTCAAGTATAAGACGATTAAATAGGGGCAACTGTAATACCCCAAATTTATCCTACCCACTCACTTTTATCTGGCTTACGCATCTCACATTCTTCTCATATACATACCTTCCATTAGGTCCTTTAACATTGCATACATTCATTAACAACATAACTTTGCAAGGGATCGAGAACCTTCAGGAATTATGGTTTCAATATCAGTTTTCAATAGAGATTGCTTTGAGGGTTTGGATCTTCTTCACCATTTCGAGCCTCATCATCCATTTCCAAGAGTTCTTTAAGGCATTTATATTGTGTGCTCTGCGAGTCAAGATATCTTTGAAGATTGGGGTGCAAAAGCTTTGAGTTATGACACAAAGATGTTGTTGTGAAATCATAGGGTGATCAAGACATTGTTATTATTTGTTGCTTATAGTACAAGTCACTCAGTCGGACTTCATTCAGATGACTTTGCATTATGCATGGAAATTCTTGGGGACCAGGGGTTGAGAAGCAGTATCTGTGTCGCAATCACCAGTTGGATTGGGGTTCTTTTCAGTGTGCTTATGTTATCAAGTGAATTTGATTTTGTCTAGCCGTAATTATCATAGGGTTTAGTTCAACGTATTAAGGTCTCGCTTGGTTCTTATCATCATTGGAAGTTTGGTTCAATTGAGTTTATTATCACTAATTCAGGGATTGTTTTATTACTTAGATCATAAGCTATTCATGTTGGAACTTCATGCAATAAGTTAAGGTGAAATGTTTTGTTGCAGGGGATCATTCTCAAATGATGAAGATATTCACCAAAATTACTTCTTAATCCATTCATTGGTTCTTTATCTCATTTGTGCTTATTCAAATATCGCAATTGAATAATATTTTGGAAATTTAAATTTGAAGCAATGGAGGGAAGATACATATTTGAATCCAATTTGAAAAGTCAGAGTCATTACAATTATGCTCAAGCCATATTCAATTGCCATTATACATTACAATTCCCATTACACTACACTACATTACGTACATATAAAGTTACTCAAAAAGGTACATTTTAAACTGATTGTCCTAATCCTCAAGCATTGCTTCATTTATAATCTTCCATGATTCCATGCCCCAATTATGCCCCATGTGCCAAGCTATTGTGTCCAAGTTGCTATGATATAAACCAAACCTGCAAATATATTAAATAAACTGTCATAAGCATATAAACCGATTACACCATCGCTAGTACACAAACTTGCAACATCAAACTGATATCAAAGTATGTTCACCAGGCCAAACATATTCCATTCACCAATCCAGATCAAAATAACAGGAAAAGCAACAGAAAACTAAACAATTCCAAACAACCCTCATAACAGTTTCCTAACTTCCTGTAATAGCCCTGCATAACTTCTTTCCAACTAACCTCTTTCCTAACCAATTACATAACCACCAAAATAGAATTCCCTAACTGTTTCTAAACACAAAAATAACAGAAAACCAAACAGAGGTTTCTAACAGAACTCTAACCTGTAACTAACTCTCACCATCTCAACCATCAAAAACCAGTTTCCTAACTGCCCTGCATAACCAGAAATCCCAACAAACTTCCTAACTAACATACAATTTCAAAAACCGACTTCGGAAACAAACTTCCAGCAGGGAAGTGATAACAGATAATAGAATACAAAAGAGGAGGAAGAGATTCACCATCACTTTTTATCATAGATGACAATTCATTCAACACTTTCACAGAGAAAATCATAAGAACTCACCGATTCATCTTCATTCTTCACCACAGAAGAATCACCATAGAAAAACCAGAAAAACCTCTCTCCAACTTGAATCTTTCTTCATTCTTCTTTTGCAATTCCTTACCTTGAATCTCTTCATTCTTTAAGTTTGGGAAGAATCACAAAAAACTCCATAAAAATTCTCAATCCCTTTCTCGCTGAAAATCGCTTCAGTCTCCATATTTATCTTCCTTCAATCCTTTCATCATCATCTTCACCATTCTCCAATCATTCGAAGGATCACCACCAAAAATATCTCAGAACTCTTCAATCTCTCTGCGACCTTCATCTCAGAGTCTCTACATCTTCTTTAACCTTTTATCCATCATCTTCTTAAGAGAACGCTTCAATCAACAAACCACCAATCTTCATCTTTCTCTGCAAGAACACAATAATAACAACGTTCAATACATCCAGCTCCTCGCAATCAGAACAACAACGAAGATTTACCAACAAAATTCAGAAGGAAATAGGATCAAGAACTAACCATTTCCTCTGTCCTATCTCTGCGATCACCTTCCACTCTCTGTTGAGCTTCAGCTTCCTCGCATAATCTTCGTTCAACAACGACATCAAGAAACCAAATCAAAAAACAAAAGAGGGAATTGGAGAAAGAGGAAAACATAATCATTTGAAACGATAGAGTAGAAAATACATATCAGAGCAGTGAGTGTTCTCTAGTTTCTCATCCTCGTCGTTGAAGAAGTCGTCGAATTGCCTTCGATAGGTGAGTAATTTATTCCTTCAACCATATATTTTCACTCTCTACTCCAAATTTTAGCACAGAGCGTATCCAGCAGAGGATCGAGAGTGTCTCAAATCATCATGCTTCTTTTGCTTGAATCATGAACCGCATTGAAATGATGAAGAGGATAAGATGAAGTTGTGATAAAAATATATTTTAGACGAGTGAAAGATGTTTGAAATTAGAGGTATGAGATGGAGATAGAAAGACGGAGGTATGAAGGAAACGGTGATGGATCGTCGGGTGAATCGCTGGTGAGATTAAACGGCGCTGCATATGTGAAGATAGGAAGAATGAGAGTGGTTCTTGTGGGAGTTGAAGAGTCATGAGTAATGAACCCTAATTTCACAAGTCCACTTGCATATATCGTTGGGCTTTGAAAATCTGCTGGGGCCACTTGAGATTTTTTGAAGCTAGCAGGTTTTACGTAAAAAAGGGTGATTATGGATCGAACCACCTTGGCCCATTTTTTTTAGTTTTTAACAAAAGTTGTAGATTATTGGATCAAGGGCTGGGCCGGAAGTTCCTAATTCTCAGGATCATCATCATTTTTTTCGATAGCTCTCGGATCATGTACAAAAAAGGCTCATTGGATTCATTCTCATTGGGCTCAGCACTTATTCATTTGCTTCTGTATCACACCGTCAGATTCCAGTTAGCACCCCATGTTTCTTTTATTTTCTCTTTTACGATTATTTTTAATTTTTTCTTTCATGATCTTTTTTTATAAAAAAATAAATAATAAAACTAATAAAAATATTATAAGACATTTTAGAAATTAATTAGGAATTTATTTCCCCTTTTTTCTAACTTTTAAGTCGATTTTAATCACTAGTTTAACTCATTATGCCGAGTTTTTCGTTTGCGATTTTTGTATGCAACATTTTGGGACTTTCTACCTAATTTTACTTGTTCATATATTCTTTCATGATTCCTTAGGAGATTTTGGTTCAAATTTAATCTTCTATTTAATTGAACTAAAATTAGACATTAGGCTTTTAAATCCAAGCATGCAAACATTAGGTACAATTCGCTCAAAATTCCAACTCTAGGTCCATGATGCATAATAACATTAGGTTTAGAAATAGGCTAGTCTCCCTTTGACTTTTCTTTCCATTTTTGCATATGAACCTAAAACTAAAACTTATTTTCCTTTTCAAACTTCAAAACACTTTAAAACCACTGATAAGAATCATGCCTTTGCTTAGTATGGGAAATGATAAGCGGGTCTCTTCTCGGTCTTATTGTTCTTCATCTCAAGCCTAGGTGTGGTTCAATTCTCAAAGACTCCTTTCATGGCTAAGTAGAAAAGTGGCTAATATCTCTCTCTTTAGGTTAACTAGTCATTATCTGCAATGAAAATACAAACCAATTCAAACCATTTTGTGCGCTCAAGCACCTTTTTCTCTAAAACCCTTTTCAGGTAAGGGCATGATTAATTTACTTCTGTGCCAACTCATAAGTCTCCAAAGGTCGAGCTACGACAAAAGGCGTAATTAACTTCGTCCATAAAAAACACAAACAAACAAAACATATGAGCCAAACTACGGTAGCTCTGATTCCTCAAAAAGGATACGTAGGCTTTGGGGTAGGGCCCAAGCAAGCACAATTTTATTTTCCCTACATTCTTTTCTCCTTTTATTTGCATGCATTCTTCTTCAGTGGTATAGTAAACAGTAAGCATAGATTAAACACACCCATAAGATAGACAACAAGAGTGGATACCGTAGAGTACTACAGGCGTGTGGGGTGCTAATACCTTCCCCTCGCGTAACAAACTCCCTTACCCGATCTCTCGGTTGCAAGACCGTGAGTTCTCCCTTCTTAGGTTTTCTCGATGTTTACCTTTCCTTTCATGTGGGAAAAAAGACGTTCGATGCCGATTTCATTGTTTGATGATTTTCAGCCGGTTGTTTCACTTACTAATACCAACATCTCATTCATTAATAACATATCATTGTTGACCTCGTCTCAAACAAACTGCGATAATAACTAGTTAAGACCAAAAAGTTTCTACTCTCTGGAACCGACTTCGGAGTCTATCAATGTAGAACTACATCTACTTTGGATGGATTCACAGATACCATCACCTGAAATAGTATTCTCAAGAAAACTCATCTCCTCATAACGTAATCTACACCTTGACAATTTAGCATAAAGTGTCCTCCCTTTCAACGCTGAAATTCAAATCACAACGTTCAACATGCCTATATTCTAACATAGATTAAATCTGAGCGCCTACAATACACACTGAAACAAATTGATACAAATATTCCTAATTCCTATACTGAGTTTTAAAATCTTACCTCTACATGCTCCATCAATTCACCAAACTCAGAAACGTACATCCTATATGGTGCCATAGGAACGGGTCTAGTGCCAAGGACAAGATCAATAAAAACTCCACCTCTCATCCAACATCACCACGTGATAGATAAATCAATTCCAGGTGCTGAAAGCATTTTTAAAACAAGGTTCATTACATTATCTTTCTATCGCTTCAAACGGAACTCGAATCGGACGTCCGAAACTTAAGTTATGAATTTTTCAAAGAATTACAAAATGTTGTCAACTTAGTGAGTAATTGATTGCATTAACATGCAAATCGATTGCATCCTATTATAGTAGTAAAAACACAAACTCCAATTCTTCTCATAAAACTACTCACATCCCCGAGTTCCAACTCTGACTCGTGATTTCCAACCATCCAACACCAAAATTTATAGCAATACACCACTCTATCACCGCTCAATGTCGACATCCCACACAATAGTAACTCAACAATGACAACTTCACGATCAACATGCAATGCTGAAAACATTGCAACCATATGAGCTTCATCTTATAAGAGTTATCTTACTTGCTTACCAGATATCTTATGGCATAAGAATATGCCCCGACTCATCAAAACAATTCGTAGTCCATTGATTTAACTCCAACCAGTTCACCCCAAGGATTACATCAAGTTAATCCAACATCTCGCTATAACTAAAAGTTGCCATTATCCCTAGGAAAACGTCATGACTCACACACAATTGGCACATCATTAGCCATAACATAACATTGCTCTCTACTCTTAGAGATGCGAAAAACACAAGTACCTGATCATTCCCTCTCAAGGACACTTCGACTTGTGTTGTACACCTTTTGGATAAACAACAAATATCATAGTCTTAAAAGTCAACTTTATTAAGTAGCGGAAAACAATTCATGTTTGTTATTCAAAACAACTTCAATCCAACATGAATCATAAATTAATTATCCAGGAGTTTACAATATTCCATAAAAATCACCAAAACATTGCAAAATATAACAAGCATTTATCCCCCCAACGTAATGTTATGTACCAAAGCACAACACCGACTCTAAAACAAGACTGAAGAGAAACCTCTTTGAACTCCGCAACAACGAAATACTCTTATCTATCTGCACGATGCCATATAAAGCATCGTTTCAACAGAAGGGTGAGATATCACAACAATATAAATAAAAGTATAATAATAAGTATAAATAAATATGTCTTGCATAGTTATTCTTTCCACATCTCACACCTTCACGTCATAAACAAGATTTAATAAGCATAAATAACCATATACAACATCTTTAAGCTAACAACAAGGCATGCAATGAGACACAATACTGACTATATGTATGTGGTACCAATATCGCTCCCAAATCCACACCATCTAGGACCAGAGCCACCAACACGGTGAAAAATTCGGTTCACCTTGCTCCCGATCCACACCATCTAGGATTAGAGCCAACAATAATGTAAATGTTTATATTCACCTTGCTCCTTATCCATGCCCATCTAGGATTAGAGCCAACAACAACAGGACTAAAGTCCTCAACATGAAATGCATGCAACACAACTATGTAACACAACACCATATTAATATCTCCATCCATAAATGTGACTTTCTGTAATACGGTGAGAGAACTGACTTGGTTGTTTTGCATTTAATCGCAATTATTGCAGATAGCAAGAGTCGCCATCGACTTTTCTTTTATCCAATAAGGATAGGGTGAAAAGAATAGGAAATACCTTTGAGATTATTTTCTTGAGTTCGAGGGGTAGACTATGAAAAGGGAAGGTGTTAGCACCGTTTTCATTCGTAGTTATGGGCTCTTAGTTGCTTTCTAGATCACTTGCTTTTGTTTGAAAATGTACTTGTGGTGTGGGTTTTGAAAGTATTTTGAAAAACGTCTTTGTAATGGTTCTCATTTCTATACGAACGCGTACAAAATGTTGTTTTGAAAATAGTTCAAAGAGGTGTTTGTGGAATATGTTTTTGAAATTGATTTTGAAAAGTGTCTTTGTAATGGTTCTCGTTTCTATAAGAATGCGTACAAAGTGTTTTGTCTTTTGAAAATGTTTCAAAATGAAAGTGTGGGTGTATAAAATGTTTTTATTGTGAGCAAGCGAGTAACTAGGAGCATCCTACCTACTCAAAAGGTCTAAATTTTCTTTTCCACCTCCTTTAAATGTTGCTATCTTACCATTGATTTGGTAAGAAGCTCCAATATTGGTTGTGAAAGGACGGGCGTGGGATGTTTGTATAGTCATAGAAGGCAACCTATGGGATGTTTTAGCAATTTTCGTTTAGGGACTAGATCATTTACCGAAGGCAACATCGAGGGACATCGATCTTTTAACGAGGGTCTTTGCTAAAACACCCATATTTGAGGGACATGACTATTTTCCGAGGCAAAAAAGCGAGATTACCCTAGAGGTGGTCTACTTGTTAGTTTTATATTGCCATACACCCTAATTACTAACATTTATGAAAGCAATAAAAATGCATAAAATAAAGGTTCTACGCTATTA